CTGTGCATTTGTTAATAAGAAATTGATGAATAGACTTAGCGGTATGTGGGTATGATATTTTTTCACAATATAATAATATGCTTTGAAGAGACTAATTATGAGTTATCCAGTGACAAGTAACCTTAATATAACCTTGGTTATTCTGTGAGGTCTATAAATCTGCAGTTAGTATAGCAGTCTCACAAGATGATATAATTTTTTGTTTAAGAGTATTTATATTTTTTAAGTAATTTAATAATATTTTATTTTTTATTAGCTTATTAGAAGGCAGACGAAACTTTGGATCAATTATTGCCATCATATGACGAAACCCCTTATTTCTTGATGCTAATAAAGGTTTATTATCTAGAAGAATCTATTTAATAACTCCTTTGACTATTTCTTTTTGCCTTTCACCTTTATATGGAGTATTAATATTAGATTTGAGCATTGTTGGTAATGTAGCTTGTTTTTTTTGTGATTTAGGTTTTAACTTTTTGCTATCTACGATATTATGAGATCATAGGTGAGTAATCATATTCGATGTTGAATTATCGTGAATATACTTCCTTTTGCACTTTTTGTCTATACCATTTTTTTTAATCATAACTTGATATATATCTTCTGTTCTGATTTCTTTAAAATACTTCCACACAAAACTTGATTTATTTTTTTACTTCTTTTTTTTATTACTAACCAATGCATTTGTAGAGAGAGTTATATTATTATTATCACTATCACTATTGCTTTCATCAGATGATATAGTTGTTTGAAAACTTAAACTAGACTAGGACTCTATTTTTTTATTTAATTGTTATAATACTATATAAGAGATGATTTATATATGCAAAGTAGCATAAGGATTATAAGTTGTGTTTGTTAATTATTATGTAATTATAATATATAATCGAAGGTGAGAATAATTTAACTAATAAATATGCAATAGCAATAAGAGTTAAAGTCAGATATATAAAAATGAAGATTTATTTAAATAATTATTCAAATTTCAGAATCCAATTCTGAAGCTTTATTCAAGTCAAAAAGCATAGTTTAAATACATTTTTTAAAATATTAAATTTTTTTTTTCACGATCTAATTTTTATTACAAGTATGCCTTCTCAATAACAATACAGTTTAATTATATAACAATACTTCTTGTATTGATCTGGTTGGCTTTGAGCACATATTAGACTTACTTGGCAGGCTTATGAATAGTTATACTATTTGGCCTATAAAATTATTTTTTTTGCATCGAATTGGTTGGCTTTGAATGTATGTTTAACTTATTTAATAGTTAGGAGAATTGTTTAATTATCATACCATTTAATCTGTGTAATTATAAGAACCAGCTGGCTTTGAATACATATTCAACTTATTTAGATACTATTAAACCTGCAGAATTATGCTTCTTGCATTAAATTATTTAGCTTTAAATGCATACTTCACCTATTTAGTTTATGGGATAATTAATTTAATTATTATGCCATTCGATCCTGTATAATTATATGAACTGGTTGTATGATTGATATATTTAGACACGGCTTAGAAATAATCATGGCATTTGATTCTTTAAGTAAGCTTGAAAATAATTATGCTATTCGATTCTTTAGACAAGGCTTGGAATAATCATACTATTTGATTCTTTAGGCAAGACTTAGAAATAATCATACCATTCGATACTTTTAGCGATTTACTTTGACCAAGTAACCGAATATAGACAGATAGAAGAATAGTTGATTGTAGTTGTTAATGAGAACTACAGATGTAGTAAGAGAATTCATATATGTAAATATGTAAGAATAATCTTGTAAGGATTAACTTTAGATTTTATTTTAACTAATCACCTACCGCCAGATTCACAATATCCAAAACTGTAAAGTGAATCCAATTTGGAAGAAATATTTGCTTGTGGTGTAGAGATTGCAATACCCGAAACTATGATATGAATTTCATTTAAGAAGATTCTCAATATCTGAAAACTATGAATGAATTTAATTTGAAAGAAGATCTGTCTTGCGATGTGGAATTGTATTTACAGTTTTTATACATTTACTGTATTTTTTAAAAAGCATATTATGTTAGTAACTACTTGTTTAATAATAAAATAATATTCCATAGTTATATTAAAAACAATATAATTGTCTCTTAATCAATGCTTTAATTCATTGCAACTAGAGATTATATCTGGTAGACATTTTTAATATATGGTTATAATAAATTACTTGGATAACCAGATAATTTAATAGTACCTAAGTAGAAAAATTCTTAGCAGGTATAATCTCTAATTGCAACAATATCTAATCAATTTTTTTACAAGGTTTGTATACTTATTGCCATCGTTCAATTTCTGCTATAACTTTTGTGAAGCCTTATAACTTTTGTGAGGCTTCATTCTAATTTTTCTATTTATTTTCTATAAAAACTCTGTGAATCTGCAATATAATTTGTTTGGCCAAATAAATTTCCAACATTTAAAGGTATAAATTCTATAAAGATGCAATATTTATAGATGAAACATGGAATAGAAAATGTGGATTAGATTTTTTTTATAGGTATCATGATTACCTTCTTGGTGGTTTTTGACAATTTAATATCAATATAGTAAGATTTGCTTATCCATTAAAGATGATAGATTTTATCTGCGTTATAATATAAAACACAATAAATTTGGGTTCAGTTAGCCAAAGATGAATTGCAAAACATGATCACAAATTGCATGACAGATAACTAAATTGGTTATCAATTTATTTGTTTTTTTTTGTAATGAATATTGAGTTTTTTTAATTGCGACATGGGTTTACGGATAACTAATACAGGTTATTCAGGTAGCAAGGGTCATGATCTAGTTAATAGGTGTTATACAGGTTATCTGGATAATCTTATACAGGTACAATCTCTAATTCAGATATATATAGTGAAGGATTCTCTAAAGAACCTACATTAGAGAGTACATACTAGCTATATAAACACTTTTGGTATCTATTTTAAGTAGTCCACCTGTATATTATACAGGTTCTATACTAGCTGCTATATCTGTAATCCAACTACAGGTGTTACCTATTTAACCTCTCTGTAATATAACTAAACCTATATTACCAGGATATCTCTGTTACAATTGTCAGTCAAGAAGTTTCAGATACTTTATCTATATTCTTAGAACTACTTTATCCTCGAGAAATTGATACTAGAGCAGTCTGACCTACAATCTGAATTCATCTAGATTCAGTAATTTATACTGAGTCTGAAGACAAGCACTTGCAAGCTGAAGCCACACTGTTATCTACTACCCCTTTGTAAAGTTCACCCAAACCCCAGTACATACTTTACAGACTATCAACTGTATCTTCAACTATCCAAACTACCAATCCAGATGGCCTGAAAGAGATTTTTGCTTTG